GACAAAGCGTGCAAAATTATATAGACAGTTCACCTCTTCTGCTTTAGTGCTATTTAGAGATGGACACGACTAGTTACAATACTATATACAAAACCTAGTTGTTGTCAAAATACACACAAGATCAAGCACTGCAAGTTTGGAGGCTGAAGACAGATCTGCTGCTGCCAGTTGCTGCCAGGGGAACAACTGCTGGAGACGGGCTTTTTGAAGCAGCCAGTTGATAATGGGGGCCAATCAGCAGCCACCAGGCCAAAGCCAGCCCAAAACAGCTCAACCAATCAGGAGGACCTGGAGAGACTCTTAAAGGCACAGAAGACACATACAAAACACAGTCCAGACATACTGACACACACTAATTCAAAATATGGCTGTATCTTGGGTCGACCTTTTTAAGTAGTTGCTTAAAGCCCTGCCTTAAGCAACTACTTAAAGCAGCACCATTAACTCCATCAGTAATCCATACACAATTTATTCTTCCTCTCATATGGAATGCATTTAGCAAGTGCTCCGGCAGTGCTGGGTTTGAGCCATTTATTTATTTTTGGGTTGCACATCACCAACTGCCAGTATTTCCTCTTTGTATGCTATGTGTTTTTGCCTCAAGTGGTGAAACAAGTTTGTTTCTTCCACTTTTAGCAGGAAGCTCTCTGTTTAGGCTCTCAGATATGCCTGTCTTGTCATTCGTGATAGGGAACGTAAATGCACAGTGCTCTACCATTAACAGTAATGTAAATATTTTTTTTTTTATCATGAAAAAGTATATCTGTTTTTCAATAAATTAATAATATTTCCAAATTTACTGACCAAAAATAATGGTGATTATTATTTTTGCTTTAATTGAATTCAATTACATGTGTCAACAAACATGTATGAATGTTTTTTGGGAGGTATACATCCATTAGCTGCAACATTAAAATCACTTGCCTAATATTATGTCCCAGCTCTGTTCTGACAGGACATGCTGGCAGAACCTCTGGGGGTGTCCTGGTTGTCACTGGAATGTTGGCAGTGATTCCTTTAGGATTCTGTGTGTTACTGGATGCAGGCTGTGGAGCAGCGTATCCACAGACGCTTGATCAGGTTAGCATCTTGTGCTGCCTGCTGTTATTGGGGTGGGCCATTGGCATTTTAAGATTCATATCGTACGTATGTGTCAAATTAACATCCACATAAGTAGTCAGACTTAAGGGTTACCAGGAGAAGACAGAATGATCCATGTTATTCACCTGCACATTTTTTTCCCCAAAATATCCCTTTTTGCTTTTCGCTAAAACAGAGTAGGGTCATGATAAGGATTATCAGCTATGATGACTTGGATCTCAGAGGGTTAATGTTGTAGCTGACTCTGTCACACTAACTATATTACACTATATGTAACACTGTTGTATCTAAAAGATAATCAATGTTTATCATAATAATATTAAATAGATCGATGTAGCTTTAACACAAGTAGAAATAAATGACGCTTTAATGTGCAAATATTGGCTAGTAGGTGGTTATGTTTATGGTTAACAGATAGAGTGCTTAACAAATTATTGATGTTATAAATTTATATTATTAAAATTAGACATGACTTTAATCACTGAGCTGAGTTAAATTAATTATTAAATTAAACCCAAACTTGACTACCATTAAAATGAATTTTCTGCTGCAAGTAAACAGCAATTTGGCCTTTGAATTGAATTTGAACTGTAAAACAGTACATTTGGAAATTATTATTACATAAAACAGCAATAATTATATTTTACTAGTAAATATTTTTAATTATCTTTAAAGAGCTTGCGCAAACTGGGGGATGAGCCATTAGAGAAACATCAAAAATTAAATATGTAATTTTTAATAATGTTAATAAACCTTACATTGGGTGGTGGTCTAATAAATTTGTTAAGCAGTGTATATGTAGAAATCTTTCTCTTAGAGATAATCGTCCAAATATGCTGTTTTAAATTTACCCTCTTCTCCCTCTCATGGTTTGACCACATCGAGTCATTACTTATATTGATCTCCCTTCTTCCAGTCTACCACTTTGTAAACTTTGTGAAGGAATATTTAAGACTCTATTTTAAAGTTTGTGTGTTGCCATTCTTCTAAAACAAACAAATTATTCTGGAGTTCTCTTCACTTAGTCACTTTTTTAAAGAAAAAGCAATATCCTGCAGCTACTCCCAAATGCACTTGCAAGCACATACAGATGCCCGCTTGATTACACAAATACATATACATGCGCCCATACACACACACAAACGCATTGCATTTTATGAGCTGGTGTTTATCCAGTGGTCAGACCAGGCTCTTTTTAATGTGCGTGAAGCCCAGCAGTCTTGCTGTTAGCTATTAAGATCAGCATTACAAGAGCTTGCATTCATACACACAACGCACATGCATGCACACCTCATAAAGGTAGCATTATGGCTTTTCAAGGTAGATGAAATATGCTTTGTTTTTTGTTGCTTTTTTTAGTGACAACCATGTGGACCAGGCAGGGCTAGTTTTGGGGCTATGAGGCTCAGAATATAGGGCATGGGCTTTAGGCTGGCGCAGGGTTTGGACTCTGCGTGTGATCGGGTGACTGTGGAGGCTGTTTGAGTAAAGCAAACTCATCGTCATGTTAAGAAACCAGTTTGAAATGAGCTTTGTGCCATGGCTGTTATCCTGCACTAAGCCAGCATAAGATAGTTACACTGTGTCATGAAGGGATGGACATATTCAGCAGAGAGAGTACATCCATGGAGAGTAAGAGAGAGTAAGAGAAATCAGGTGAAAAGAAACAGTGAAAACCATCCACTGCAGCTGCTGTCTGTCCTTTTTATGCTACTTTTTGTTAACTTTTGTTCTCCCTTCTTGGTGAACTTAGCTGTTGTTCCCTTTCCAACTTTTCAACTGGTCAGCATTGGCTCTGTGCGCAGCGTCATCTGTAGTGACATTCACTGCTTAGTGGATGTTTTGTGCTTATGCGTGTGTTGTGAGTGAAGCACTAAAGAAAGGACTGCAGAGGCTTGAATAGAAATTAAAAGGTAGCCAAGCAACAGGGATATGCACACATGCACATTTTTCCTCTCCTTTCCATCTTTCCAAGGGGACAGGAGTAGGAAGACGATACAACCAAAATACTGAGTTCACAGACAAGAATGCCTGGATGATGTTAGGGACACATGTGGTCGTGTACCTATCTCCAGACTCCACTAGTTGTTAGTGAGGTATTTTAATAGATTGCTGTCTCTATAAAGCTGCCTTTGATCATGCACTCAGGCTGTACATGAATCTTGATTACACTGGAAAAAGGACACCTGATCACACTCCATCTGTCTCCCTGTGCCAAGGAACATTGCAGTTTTGTTTACAATGTTTACTGATAGATGTTAGAAATCTAAGTATAGCACTCAGTTTAAGATTGAAGTGCAGATTTTCAGCTTTTAATTTGTTGTTTTTTACATCCCTGACTGATACACTGGCAAGTTAAAACACTTTAACCTGTGTCTGACTTCCTTCACTGCTCGGGCCATCACATTGTCACTAAAATGCAATCTAACACTTTCCCTAAATGGGGTAAAGCATTCATTTAGTTTAGTCTTTTTTTTTCTTTTTTTTAAGAAAAGATGGGCTTAGAGATTAGAGATTCAGGTTCTCAGGTCATCATCAATGATAATTTAGACCTAACAGAGCTGTGGGTGATTGGTGTGCATAATGTAATAAAAGTTAAAAATTAAAATTAAGTATGAAAGGCTGAGTGAAACAGTGTTTTAACTCATGCAGAAAAGACATAGAAAGTGTTGGTGTGCAAAGCAAAACATATGTGCTCTTTGCAGTACATACTTTCTGATCACACACCTAGACTGCCGGTACTTACCGACGGTTGCCATTGAGGCAGACAGGCGTGTCTCGGTCGTGGCTGGACTTCTTACCTCTCTCTCACCACTCCCACGGTGGGAGATAATGGGAGCTACGAGGAGTGGGACAATTTGAGATCTGAACCTGGTTTAACTGATTGTGCTGTTCCATGTGTACCCCCAAAATACACCTCATAAAGTTGCCACTCTACAAAGCCGAACCTCCTGTGGGACATCTGATATTACTGCGTACATGTGTGGGAGCAGGTGGGGGGATGGGGGGGTGTATGTGTACAGCACATACAATTCTTGTTTGTGTGCTGCTGCGTGTTTGCTAACGTGTGTTTATACTCACATGCGCCCCGTGCACTGGGGCAAGCCATAATTAACTCCAGATGATTTTGAGTGCCTGCCAGCTTCCCAGAATAGCAGCGCTGGTTTGCAGCCCTCCAACTGGCCTTGGCAAATATTTTAGCAACCCCATGTTTACCTTCACACTCTACACTCTCACTCACTCAGAGCATTCCTCATTTCAAGCGCCTCTCTATCACAAATAATCTGCTTTTTCATCATTTACCCCCAGTGGCCGGGAGCACAAAGTAAACTCCTCCACAGCACCTAAATTGGGCAAACTCAACAGCACGCTGCCCACACGTAATGCTGCTGCAAAAGCTCTCCTGCTCTAATCATGATGCATTTACTACTGTCTTACACAAAGCAAACCCCTGCATTGTTTGCGCTGTGTATCGCTGATGTTTTACTCACATAAAAACTCAGGTAGCAGGGCATTCCACTCCGTGATCGACGGGTTTGTCTAATGAGAGTTCTGCTGAGGCATGACTTGGCCTGCTGACAAGCATCTGAGATCTGAAAACCAACAGAGGGATGGGGTGTTATTATAATACAAGCATGCACATTGAAGGTGGTGTTGTTAAAGCTGTGTCAAGGCATTAATTCCTCTCCGTGGAAACGCTAATCTGTTTTCCCAGTGTGTCTCAGAGGGATAAGTCCTCCGCTACCTTTTTAACCCCACCCAAACTAGAGGTGGATGTCAAAGCTCGATGAGCGATGGTCTTTCTTTTGACACCGGTTGGTTTACCTTTGGTTCTGTGAAATCGAACAAGTGGCAGACTAAACTTCTTTGTCTTCTCTTCCTTGTGTTTTTTTTTACAGTGCCGTCCGTCCAAAGGCAGGAGGCGGGGCTACTGCTGGTGCGTGGACAAATATGGGCAGCCTCTCCCCGGCTATGATGGCAGGCAGTGGGGCGAGAAGCAGTGCTACAACCTGGAGAGCAAATGAGAGGATGGAGGAACGACGAGTGGATGGAAAGGGGAAGACGGTGTAATATGGGGGAGGGATGGGCAAGGGGTGAGGGGGGGCGAGAAAGAATGAGATCCCACTGTGCTCTTGCATTTAGTTTTATGTAAACATCTGAAGGAACTCTGGACCTCTGATTTCAGGTCCTGCTTCTGTTGGAGGAGGGAGGGAGGGGGG